GTGACCCCGAGTCTGATCGATTTTTACTGCCCTGCCATCATAAATCACCAGACTCTACGTGCGTATTTGTATGACAATATGTTTGGTCAGGGGCGGACTGGGACTACAAATCAGCCCGGGACTCTCGACCGGCCCACCTCGGTAAATTAACGGGGGGGGGGGGGGTGCTAGTGAGTTATCCGAGCGGCTCACCTCGGTGCCGCAAGTAAATACCGCGAGGGAATTGTCGACGGGGGGGGGGGGTGCTAGTGCATTATCCGAGCGGCCCACCTCGGTGCCGCAGGTAAATCGGGACCGGCCCATCGGGATTCGTCCCGAACGTCCCGATGGCCAGTCCGCCCCTGTGTTTGGTGCATGTATGACTTATATCACCTGGACAATGTTACCCAGTGTCAGAGCCCTCAGTGCAAGATGCTGTTTGATGACCTTGTGTTAGCACTGCATGGACATGGTATCCATCTTGTGGTATATTGCCATGCCTCCTATCTGGTGTCATCAGAAGCCGTCCATCTGTTCGTACGACCTATCCGTATGAGCACAATATCTCAGGGGTGCTGAATGCTGCTCATAAACAAATATTATTATCTTACCTCCACTTTCTCACCTAAAAGAGGTGGAAATGTTGGACAATGGTGACTTAAATCACTTAAAGTGGACCTATCATGCTATATTTGAATAATATAGTGTAGGACCATACCTATATAAGGCATATTTATACTTTTTTTTTTGCAAAATACCAAACAGATCATGCATTTTAGCCATGCCTCATTTTGCTCAATTTGACATTTTTTAGCTCTGTGTTTGTCAGGGCAGATAAGGGCAGAACAGCAGCATCTACAGGCCTGGCATATGTACTACAGCGTCTCCAGCGCTTTCGAACGGCAATGTCCGTGGCTGTCTCCTCCTGATTGGTGGAGTTGGCCCAATAGCCGTAGCGCCACTGTCCTGACGTCAGGACAGTGTTCAAATCTGGATCAGTTTTTATCAGATCCGTTGCAGCCCCTTTTTTAGAGATTTGGGTATGGAGGAAAATAGAGAGGGTTGTGTTTTCTGACACTTGGTGAGTTCCCTGGAACACCAGGGACACATATTCATGTATACAAGACGTACAAAAGTGCATTTTGCATGATAGGTCCCCTTTAAAGTATTGACATGAATAAACGTAACAATTTTCTTCTTTGTATGCCTATTTTGGGACTTTTAGTGTCTACGTTTTTCATACATTTCAGGAAAAATGGGTGCTCAAACTGAGGACTTGGTTTCCATTGAAGATCATTTGAAATATTAAGAAAAAAGTCTGTAATAGATTTCACTCTGGTTCATTTGAGGTCGATGATAGGTCCCCTTTAAATGTAAGTAATCCTTGTTTCTCATACAAAGAAGTAATTAACTAAATACATGCCCTGACCCTTTATCTCCGACTCAACTTTTTCAATAACAATTGGATAAATTGCATTTCAATTTTGTGTGTCCTAATATTTTGTATCCTGACTTTGGTGGTAGACAGTCAATCAGTTCAGTTTTGGTATCCATTTGACACACTTCCATCCTGATCTTTTGTTTTTTTCTGTGTTGCTCAAAAATCTGTCTAAAGCAGTCATTCTAACACTGCTTCCTACCTCGCAACACACACACACTCACCCACAGGCACACACACGACTTGTAGAAGGCCCTGTCTGTGCCCCGGGGTCCCCTGAGTCTGATTAATGCACTATCTACAGGACTCCCATGGGAGATCACTCACACAGCACACACTGCGCTGTGGTTTGTACATGAACACGCTGCCACACACTAACCCGATAGGAAAGGACATTTTCTCTATGGTAATAGCCCATCTTAGATCATCAGTGAGTGTGTGTGAGAGAGAAATTGCCCAATACTTTCACAGCAGATGAAATAATATGGTGTCATGTTTGTAACAGACCAATAGATAATAAAGGTACTGATGTCTCTAAATGATAAAGATTAAGAGACAGAAATTCAATAGTACACACTATCCATCATATACACGTATATGGGAGAATGGGAGAATACCATTGGACTGCAATTCACTTCTTTGAACCACTAGGGATTTTACGTTGAAAACTGTGCAAATATAATGGTGTTTGCCAATATATAAAGTATACAGACAAGAGTTCTACTATAATCTGATAGTCACCATATTAACACATGTTCTAAGAGCATCTATGTTGGTGGGTCTCTTTGCTCACCAGAGTGCAATTCCTTGGAGTGAAAATAGCTAATTAACTTTCCCTGCTGCTTCGAACAGCTGTCATCTGATTGGTTGCAAATTGAAAGGTCAGCGTTAAACAGGGTCAAAGTTGACACACAACAGCATGGTCAGCGCATAGCCATTTTACCCCTTGTCAGGAAAAGGCAGATTATAAGGAACTAAACATTTTTTAAGATAAAATATAAAATAATTTTGTCCCACCATGTACTACAGCTGAGCCTTTACCCCAGCAGCCAAGGGTTCAAATCCCACCATCGCAATTTGCTGCAGGTTGTCACAAAATATGACCCTGAATACATTGCATTTTTTTTTTAACATTTATCTGGGAAGCTTTCCCCCTCGATTTCTTTTCAAACAATCGGAAATGAGCCTTATGTTTCAAAAGGTTGAGAACGCTTGTCTTAAAGTATATTGGGTGTCTTTTCACTCAGCTGAAATAATGTCTCTTGGAAGCAGCTATTACCCTTCTCTTCGAGGTGCGTGAACTCACATGCACATGTTCAGAATCTCTTTCAGTGTCCTGCTCTCTCATACATTTACAGTAGTACTCTCCCCCTCTCTCTCTCTCTCTGCTAACAAGGAGAGAGTAAGGGGAGACAGGCCTGGTATGGTTCACCGGCTACACAGCTAGTGAAATGTGAGAGTGGTATGCTGTAAGTGGGTGTGTGTGTGTGTGCGACTGTACAGTAAGAGAGTGTGTGTTTGTAGCAGAGTCCAAGTCCAGTTTCCCCTCATTGCTTTTTACACCAATTGATTTTAGTTTGAGTGACAGGCGGGAGGAAACAGCACCTCAGCCTGCTGCTGTCAGCTTATGTGAATAACTGCCTCTCCGTTCTCTCTCCTCTTTCTGGCATCCCTTCCTTTCTTCTCCTTCGCCTACACTCCATTTTCCTCTCCAACACACAAACAATAAAAACCCTCATTTTAGCCCCTATACTGTATTTCCCGTCACCTTTTGTGAACTTTCCGTCCTGTCTCATCAGGCTGCTGGTTGTGTAAGAGGACACTTTATTAAAATGGCCCTAATATGTTTTGTATATATTTTGTGACATGTCTCCATGCTTTAATGTTCAAAAAGGTCTTTATTTTCCTCATACTGCCTGTGCTGCAGCAGCTCTTTTCACCCTCTGTCTGAATCCAGAGCCCAGTCTGCTCTGATTGGTTAGTGAGATGTTGCTTCCCTTAGCCTATCACGTACAATGTGTTGGACCACTAGCCAATAGAAGTGCGAGAGTTACATAGTGATGTCATTGTTTTCCAGAAGTAAACAAAGGAGTCCAATGGAGGTGTTGCTAATCTGGCTAAGCTTTTGCAGACCATTTACATGCACTAAAACCTATATGACACACTACAGGAATAGGAACCCCCCCCCCCCCAAAAAAAAACATAATAGGGCCCCTTTAAGAAGACAGACATCCTCTCTTAATATAGGATCAGTCTATTATAATAGAATGCAGATAGACTTTGAGTAGTTAATGGGAACCTGTGGAGCCGGCCTGTCAACGAGACATCAGAGAAAACATATAATCGCACGGCACTGACTGTGTACCTTGTCGGCGAGCAGAACAAGAGGGGGGCGGAGATTGAAAGCCGCTTACAGTTGGACTGCTGTGTTGCCATGGCGACTGTCTTTGCATTGAATCGATAGGAAAGAGATGCTTGGATTCCACACACCTCCCCGTTGTTCTTTCTTCCAGTCTGATTTTATTTCTTCCAGTGAAGAGCTTTGTTGCTTACTGTGAACACACACAGTCTTTGCAATGAAAACACACACCCTAGTTCAGACACAGACACACATTTTGGGGGCAATTCAAAGGTTAAAATTATGAAATACCCAGGGAAATTCAGCTGATACACACAGAATGGTGATGAACAAATGTGAAGGTGGCAAGACTTTTGACTCCTCCTCAGGTCGCCTTTGATGATCTGCAGGTGTTGCTCAAAGCCTTGCATCAAAATAAACCTCAGGTTCCCTTTCATTCGCTCTGCTGAAAACACACCTTTCTTCCCTCCATCCCTACCTGATGAGGAGATAACGGTACAAGTGTAAGGTCTCGTATGATGTGTCAACCCAATTAACCTTTGATCAAATATGTCCTTGATGCAAACTAAGAAGGATAGCTGAAAATTAGCAGGTTCATATCGTAGAATTAGAACGAACAGAACGGATCCTGTGTGGGATCGTGATGATTACTCTGCAGCAGATGCTTGATCGCCGGGAATGAGTGTGTTTTATGTGAGAAAAGAGCTACGAGGCAGACATTTCAGAGCGCTTCATGATTACCACAACTGCGGCTGGAATGCTCGCCATGGTAACAGATGAGTTTCAGAGTCTCATGCACTGTACTTATGCCTATTTCCATGACAACGCTCTACAACCGCTCAAAGAGTGTCAGTTAAGTGACCGTTTGAACCATCTGAATTCAACTAGTATTTTTAGGCTTTGAAATGATAATGAGGGTGTTGTCTTATTTGTTGACCGAATTGCCAACTCTCATTGCACATTCATAATTTAAAAAATCACAGACATGCTTATACAAAGGGTTCATTTGAGTCCATGCCCAACATGCTGTATCTGTGACACTGAAGATGTAGGGGGGACAAGCCTGGCATGATGAGTGCACTGTATGCAAGCACAGAAATGAGATATGACAACTGTGGTAGTGACACTACAGAGAGAATCAAATGTGTATGAGTTCCGTTCTTAAATCTGTTCTTCTCCGTGCCTCTGTTGTCCTCACTGGCCTCATTTTTTTTTTTAAAACAGTGGGGAGAGGAAAGGGGGTGTTCCTTTTGAATAAGTAAGCCTCTGCATCGCTTCTGGGAGAAAAGCTTCACTCAACGTGAGAGGTGTCCTCCATGCAGCAGACGATGCAATCCTCAGCAGGAAACTGGCGAGCGTTTCCACCAATGGCAGCTCACCTCACACATTGGCCAACGCAGAGAGGGTTTCCACGGCTACCCCCAGCCTTCCTCACCACCACTCCTTCCCATCTCCCTCCCCCCCCCCTCTCACTCATCTCTCCCTCCCTCTCCTCTCTTCAATCCTCCTCTCCTCTGCCATGGAACAAATGTCAAACGGCTAATAAACACAGCAGCACATGCGGCTGCTCCGAATGACCGCCATGGTTGGTCAATTTGTCAGGATTCACACTCACAGCTACACGGACAACACATGCACAAACACACAGACACATACACATACACACACTCCCCTGAATTGATGTTGGGCTTGGGGATATTCAATTTAGTTTTTGTATTGTTCTCGATGGAGTACAATGACCTCATCGCTTCAACACCCTACAGCTATTGTACATATAATATTTTAGAGTAGTTTCGTTTTATTGTACAATAAGGTTTTCACAAATGTAAATCTGGATCTTTTTGCAGGAATCATGAAAAATGTAATCTACAGCATGCAGAGGTAACAAAAAAATAAGCAGTAATACCACAGTGTAAATATATATTGTAAAGAGTACGGCAATAACATTAATACTAATGTTAAAGTATTAACATCCAAACATACTTACAGTAAGCATGCACAACGGCCCGTTACAAGCCCAGACTATTATGTGTATTTTATTACTTTTTAATACAATTCAATACACTTTTATGTTAAAATATAATAATACATGATAAATAATGTGTGTGGATTATTTGACTGAATCCAAATCTTCCAAGTAATTTACAAGATTTCCCTCTGAATTAAAGTGGAGTTTAAAGTAGTAGAAAATGAGAAAAGCTCAATTAAGTACCTCAACATTGTGCGCAAGAACAGTACTTGAGTATATGCTTTGTTACTGTACCACTGACAGTATGTACCATTTAATAAAATATCCTGTTCATTTCCATAATTGAGTAAATCAGCTGAAAAGTATTTTAAATGTCATTCTGCTCATAACGCTGTGTCATGGTAAACTGTTCCAATGCACTGTTGGACAATCGCCACCTTGTCACTCCCCAGCTGAGTCTACTACTCTATCTCATACACTGTGCCAACACCCTGAATCAAAGTGATTTATGCTCCATGTGTTTTTATAAAATGACATAAAGGTTTTTAATATATTCAGTTCTGTTTTTCTGCAGGACATTTGAGGTGTTGCTGCCCCCAACATTGACTGTATGATACCAAGGAGTCTTTGAAAAGTTATGTGATCATGTCAAAGTCTGTATTAAAGAAGTATATAATAATAACGTCACCCATTGGTTTGAGTTTGGCATTTTAGTCATCACCATCTTGGTTTTTGGCCGGAAGTGACACGAGAAACCAAAAAATCTAAATGTAAGTCTTAAATGTTACACCTATCCTTCTTAACTAAAAACTAAATTGGGTGAAAGGGTTTAAGTTTTAAGGCGAAAAATGTCGACACACCCAAATCACAGCACTCAGAGTTTTCTTTTAATCACCTTTAAAAGGGACCATAATATACAAAATGAATAGACCTGAAACTAATGATTGAGACCCTAAACAAAAGAGAAAAATGCTTATTGAGGGAATAAATCAAGAGATAATTAGGGTAATTTTCTTATACACTTCTATAGAATCTGACATATTTTTGCCACCCATGTAGTTTCTCCCTGCTGGCCAGTGGAGAGAATGCAGGTTGAAAGAATGCATAATAAACAAGCAAGCTGTGCGATGTAAACAATGTAACTGCATGACAGATTTACACCCCTCTATGCATGTGAGCATGAAAAGGTGCATACATTCTTATTCTTTATTAGGATCCCCATTAGCACGAGCATGAGCATTGGCTATTCTTCCTGGAGTCCTCACACACACACACAACATACATACAACTAAAACAAAACAGCTCATAATTTCATGCAATTGACAGTGTTATATGAAGTGAAAACAAAAATGGTCATCCAATTTTAGCCATCATAAGGCCAAAAAATAAATAATAATAATACTTGTACATAATAATACAAACATACCCACAGGCACAGTTCAATTTTTTAGTACATGCCATTAGATATTGTTATCTTGTTTGCTGCATGCATGTAGGCAGGTCTTTCTATTTTTTTCTTGTATGCAGCAAGTGAAATTCTATACTGTTGCACACATTTGGATGTTTGATGTGAGAGCAGGCAGGCGGTCCGGTGGGCTGCTGTGAGAAGTGGCACACTCAGATCATTAATCAGACTGACGGCACAGCGGGTAGAAGGCAAGCCATGGGAGAGCCCTAATGCATGCAAATGTATACTCATTTTAGTGGGCAGATGCAACAGAGAGAGAGAACATATCACAGCTCAGACTAAGCTTTAAAGGCTTACAGTAGATATGATATGATATGTTGTGATATGGAATCGGTTAACATTTGACTGGTCTCAGATCTCATATCAGCAGCTATGTTATCTCCCTGCACCATCTTACCAATATAATGTATATATATATATAAGGTCTTAGAGCATAATATGTCAAACAAGCCTCTTAAGCAAGACATCATTAACGTGGCAAATGTAGGAGCAAGAGATGATTTTCTGCCAACTGAGGGCACAGATTAGAATGCTGCTCAGTGCTTGAGCCTCATTACTGTACGACTTGGATTGTACCTTAGTGGAGATAACCTTACATGACTTTTTGAGTTTAATCTTTTACAAAGGAGCTCTGGGATGAAAATGGAGTGATGATATTGATGCTGGTGGTGGCAGCATCTGAGGAAACAGAAACACTACAAATCCTCCTGTCATTTTTCTCATTGTCAGATTGCTCTGACTTAAACAACAAAAGGTTAGGTCAGGGTATTTTGCAGAGATGAAGCTTGTAAAATACTTTTAAAAACATGTTGGAAAACACTATGTTAGCTAAACTCCCCTTAATAACGGTTGCTATGCCTAAATCAAGCTTTCTGTACTGGTGTAGTAGAACATACCACAAGCAATGGCTACACAAATGTGTAAACTAAGCTACTGCCAAGCTACAATTGTACAATCTTGATTCAGAGTTTAAGGGGTTAAGCGATTTGTCAATTGGCAGTGTTCCCAGATGGGATGCCAGTGAGGGATCATAATTGTCTCTGCAACAGAGTGCTGTGTTAATATGTGAAGATTATCCTGCTGAACAAAACTTGTTAAGTACCATAAAAGTGTGTTGGCCACAAAGCAAATTTGTGGCCAACAATGGGGAATGGGGAAATCCCATTGCTTTCTGACTAGTCGGCCTACAAAAATGCGTCATCACTACACCACTCTACAGCATCTCCTATTGGTTGGTCTGAACAAGTGGAAGAACATTAGCATGAAAGTCCATCTTGTATTTGTGTGAGTTCCAAGTGACCTTATGTTATGTGTGTAATATTCAGTTATGTATAATAGTTAGTGTCCATTTTAAAATGAAGATAGTCTTGCAATACAATTTGTTTCTCCTTGGCTTCCTCTATACTTGTTTCGTTCTTACATATTATTTGTCTCAGTGTCCCAGGAAAACATCTGTCTGCTGAACTCATGGCTCATGAATCAAGGTTTCACTCTTTCTTTTCCCTGGATGTACGGCAAGATGGAGGGAGGGATGAAAAGATGGAACGAACAAGCAATTATTCTGCTCTTGCAAACAGGCCATTCAGGGAAATTCCCTGGGGAACAGAGCTTTTTTCAAGGTTGTGTCCTACCCTGCTAGCTACCTCTGTGTGTGTGTTGTGTTTGTGTGCATGCCTGAGTGCATGTAGTCCTCTGGGTCTCAATAACGTTCAGTCAGGCTGATATCTCTCCCCACACAGAGACAGAAATTGTGCAAACCGTGAATGTGTGTGAGTGTGTGCTGACTCGGCCAAGTGCCAGAGGTTCCCCCAAGTCTCCCAGGTCAGACGCAGGGTCAACACTGTTGGCAAAGAATGTTCTCTGTTCATTCCGCCTGGCACGAGCGCCAGGCCCAGACATGTGAGAAGGATGAAACGCATGACAGTGTTATTGTTCTGTGTAAAATGGATGACTCTTGGAAGGAAAAAGCCACCGTGTGAATCCATGCCTGCTTTGTGATTTTACATAACACAAACACTTTGCATCAAAAGGTTGCAGGCATTCAGGTTGTATAAGGACTTCTGAGATAAGGCTATTTGTCTGCATGAATCACCCAAGCTTCACAATGGTTTTAAAGGTTCCAATTGTAATCATAGCATTGCAATGTTAAACTCATAGCTGTGTAGTGTTTGCATTAAAAGTCATTGCAGACAAAAGATAAGACTTATTTCACTGCCATAGATCCATACAGTGTGGGCGACACTAGGAGCTTTGTTATGCCACTTAATTCAAGAGGGAGTTAAAGCAGGAGAATTCATTTCTGTCCACAAATTGTTCTCTCCTGCACGGCATTGTTTGAAATATTTTATTCCACTCCCCGCTTGTTGTTTTTATTGTTTGCTATTCGAGCAAGAAGTATATGGAAATTGGCCCAAAGGATTTCAGAGGTTGGCAAATTGCATCTCCAATCAATGCCAGGACTGTGCGGAAATCTATGTAAGCCGTGTGTGCAAAATCATGTTTTTATAGATTGGAGCAAAAGTGCTTACAAACAAACCAGACAAAGCAAAGCAAGTCATTATTTCGTTGCATTGTTAATATTTCTTCTAGGCAGAGACTCCAACGCCATACAAATGAAGGCACAGAGACGGTAGGAGAGAATTAATTAACGGAAGAAAGTGAGGGGGGAAATGTGTGGCTTTATTTTTCTGTTTTTAAAATTAGACTCCAAAGACATCTCCCCTGCTGTTATGATGAGGTTGGAGGGATTATGTTATTAAACCCCTGACATCACTCCTCTCTCTGTGTTTCTGGCACCATCTTAGGTAACCTTACGTATCCTCAGT